ACAACACTAACTTATTTAAATAATGTTCTACATTTTGGGGAAGAGAGAGAGAGAACTAGTGTTGTTTTCTGTTGATTTCTCCCCCCTCTCCTTCAACATCAGTGATTCTACGGCTTTTAAATGTGAAGTGGACTGTTTATCTGAAAGTGTGCTGGCAGACTGCCACCATATTTCTAAGATTAAAGAAAGGATTGAAAACAATCAGCTTTCTGAGGAACTGAAACCACGACAATATGTTTCTGATTAATTTACAAATACATGTATATATTTAAGGCTAAACTACAGAACCAGAAAATTCCTACTAGTTAGTCTATCACAGGCATTCTTACACTTTATTAGAACAGACATCATATTGAAATAATAAGCATGGGAGGCCTTCGTTTCTTCTTTGATCTATATTACTAAATGTCTGACTGGCTCAGATTTAAAATAAACTTTGGTATGTTTGCACTTGAAAACTGGAAAAAGACCACAAGTAATAATTTGTTGTCAGTTTCCATATTCTCTAACTAAAAGCTATAGTTTAGTCTGTACACTGCTGGAGGCCAAGCGATGTTAGTCCAGTCACCCCTGCTGCAGTGCCTAAACTTTCTTGTAGGAATATTTGCTCTAGTATGGGAGCAATGATGAATGATAGATCACTTCATCAGGGTGGAACTAGCTGAGAGAATTAAAGGTACAGGTCACAGCTTTTTGTGCTTTCCAAATCTCTTGCAGGCTAGTGTCATTACAGCCTTAAATTTACAGGTAGGTATGGGAGAAGGGTGCCAAAGAGCTCCTTTTTCTCTGAAGATGTAAGGATGGTGATTTCAGGCCAAATGCATTGCAAATGTGAAAGCAAGGTGTTTAGTGATGGCTCTTCAGTGTTGTTCTGTGTGATTTTACAGTTTGGGGCTTTTTTCTGCATAAATGTTGTCGATTTTCTTCCAATAAATTAAATTATACTAAACAGTAGTTTTTAAGTGCCACCTATGCCCAGCATAGTTGGATTTGGTTTTAGGCTTGGGAGTTTGTGGTAATAGTAGGAGCAGGTAATGGAGTAGGTAATAATTTCACTCAGATGGAGGAACAGGTTATAAAATTTCATACAGGATTAGTTCATTTTCTTATTTAGAAAGCTGAATTTAGAGGAAGGAACACAGAAGGGAGTTTCTGATCAGGAGGTGAAAGACTAAATTATTCACCTTTAAAAAGCATGATAAGTACAAAATGCTACGGATTCTTACAAATGGCAGGATTAGGGAATATACTGACATCCTTTAACTTTTCTCAGCCTATTAGAAACATTCCTTAATAGTCCATTTAAACATGATTCTCAGTAACAAATGAGGAAGGAACACAGAAGGGAGTTTCTGATCAGGAGGTGAAAGACTAAATTATTCACCTTTAAAAAGCATGATAAGTACAAAATGCTACGGATTCTTACAAATGGCAGGATTAGGGAATATACTGACATCCTTTAACTTTTCTCAGCCTATTAGAAACATTCCTTAATAGTCCATTTAAACATGATTCTCAGTAACAAATGAGTTAACACTCATAAAAAAGGGAAATAGAGCTTTGAAAATCTCACCACCTCTAAAAATTCCCATTCTACTGAGCTTATCTCATCACTTTATTGCCAAGGTAACCATGGGTATCTCATGAACTCTTCCGTGCTACTGAATGGTCAAATACCAGTGCTGCAAAACACCTAGTTCTCTACTTACAGCTGATAAGGCCATTCTTCAGCCACAGGACTGACCTCCAAAATGGATGCATTTCTGATTCTATGTGATGACTGCAACTCATTTAGGAAGGAGAGAAACCACTTACATTCCAGAAATTTCAAAATTCAACAGTAACAGTAAGGGCTATGAGCATATCCCCCTGACAGACTACGCACTGGTCAGAGCTCCTTTTAAATCATGGTCCTAGCTACCTAAGGTATCACCCATCTCATCCCATCATGACCTTTTCAACCTCTTAACTATATAATGCCACCCTAAATGGTGAAGGAGGAGAGGGACCTTCACATACAGAACCGCGGAACCAAGCTTACTACACATGCTTTTAGGAAAGATTAAGGGTATCTCCTGAATCAAAAAAGTTTCCAACTTTCATTAAAGCTTACCTGTTCAATCTAACTCTGCTAGAATAAATACCCTTCTCTGTTACACGCGTACATCCTGCCAGGTACATTGTAATGGTTCTCAAGCACGGATGCTAACATTTTGGGCAGAAAAGCTGTTGTTACGTCTCTGTTAATTCTACAGAAGGAGTTCTCCAGCTAAGTCTGCTTGTCCGGGTGCTTTATTTGGTGCTCACCATTGGACCACACGTATTAAAAATGGTGAGCATCAAATAAAGCCCCTGGACAGACAGACTCAGCTGGAGAATAAGAATTGTCATGGATGATCTAACACCAAACACACCAGTGCTCAGTAGACCTGGGCTTCGCTGTCGATAAAGGATAGCCATACTTACTACTGGATAGCATAGAGCTGATTTGAGCCATATT